AGTATTGGATCCTGAATTCAAAGTGGTGGAGAGTGCATATCCATTTGTTATTGGAAGGCTTTTGTCAGACCCAAGTTCTGATATGAGGAGAATATTGAGAGAACTTATCATCTGCAATGATGGATCACTCAGGTGGAATCGGCTGGAAAGACTGGTTTGTAATTTACCTTTACAAGTATCGTACATCAAATTAATCGAATCTGCACTAATGTTTGGTCACTTGCATTAGCTTGATAAGTACCATAACTGGATGCGAGTATGCAACTAGCTATGATGTACTAGTACATATACTTGCTAGCTGGATGCATGTTTGCATTTTGTCATCTGCTGTCCTTGGGGAGAGATGCTCATTTGATTGTAAAATAAATATCTCTATGACCTGAATCTGGTTTTTTGTTTTTTGTTTTTTGTTGGGTTTATACTGATTTCCGAGGATGGGGAAAAATTGGATGGACTGTTTCGAAACATATTTTGAAAAGTGGAGTGGGCTATATAGTTGATGAATGGATAACCATTCATGAAATCTGCATGCGAACTTCTGGCATATTAACTTCAATCGTATTAAACCAAATATCCAGAAAAGAACTAATACTAAATTGTGGCGTATCCTGCGTACTGGACATAACTAGTAATTTGATGAGAAATCTTATTTTCATTTTTAATCTTTCCGAAGTCTGGTAATGTTGTAACCATGCTACACACATCCATTTTTCTGTATTATCTTTTCTATACTGCATATGTAACATCTTATTCCCCATATGAAGTTCATAGTTTTGTATATTGCTTATAGACCAAGATGAACATGACATGACCTCATATACATGATTCAGAAAATTTGCAAGGATAGAAACATTTTTACTATAATGGGGCCAAAATGGTTGTTAATTGGTAGCACAAACCTTTTTTATTCTCCGATTACAAATTATTGTGTTTGGACATCTATGCTAGATTAATCCATCATTTGCAATGGAGCCAAAGACTCACTTTTTATTGGCTTGAGAATATGATGGAATAAAGCAAAATGGTTCACTAACTGTTTGCGCTTCTTTGTTATGAAGTAGCAGTCAGTCCATGCAATTTTGGACACGATTTTCACAATGGGTCATCGGAAACAGTCTCTTTGTGCTTTAGTACAGGGGTAAAACTGCGTACATCTGACCCCCCTACCCCACCATAGGTGGGAGCCTTTGCGGCACTGGGGTAATGATGATGATGATGATGATGATGATGATGATGGACATCTATGCTAGATATGAGTGTTACTAAAAGCTTGAATGATCTGTGAAACGATGTGAGTTTCACTTTCAGTAAGGTAGCGCTAAAAACTATATTTGTTTCTCATGTAGATTGCAGCAATATCAAAACAGATAACTGCTGCAGATGGAGAAGCACAGCACAATGACTCAAATCCACTTGAACTTTCTTTTGACATGCGTGCTGTCGTAGCTGCCACTGAGGATCTTTTTTCGTTCATATTGTCGGAAAAGGGGTCGAGGGTGCGCGTGTTCATTGTCAGGGATATAATCAAGGCAGCTGATATTTTTCTTCAGGATGAAATTCTGTATGATCTTTTCAGTGAGAAACCTCATTCAAGGGATATGTTGAAGTCTGAGGTACGTCCTAATTACTGATTTTAGTAGTAGAAAATTTAGGTCAAGTCTGCTGTAAAATATACTTATATAGTAACTCGGACTCGATCCTTTTGAAAATGGTCCCAACATAAAACATTCAGGTCTTCCGGCTGGTCCCAGAATCAGGTGAATATATTTGGTGAACATGTTTTCAGATTTGAAAATGGAAAACTGGAAAATGAAAACAGAAAATTGGAGAACAAAAAAATGGAAAATCAAAACGGAAAATTTGAGAATGGTATACTGAAAAGAATATTAAAAAATATCTCTGAAAGCACTTTCAAACCTCCAACTTCTACATTCCCCGAAAGCACTTTCAAACCTCCAAAAGCTAGGCCAGACGGAGCCTTAATCAGCCAACATATTAGTGGAAAATAAAAGGATGCCGCAAAATATTATTTCACATAAATTGATCAGTTTATATAACTTAGTAACAGTGAATATTCTACTGAGGTTGTAAGATTCTATATGCATTACAAAGGTGCCTCCCTTTTGGTAGGGACATGCAATGCTACTGAGGGTGGCCAAGGGTTTTCAATCTATGGGACTAGCAGTGAAACTGGCTCCAGAAGTTTGGATTTCCATGCTCATCCGCTTGGCTGTACGGTCCGAGTTTCAAGTATTTGCGATGGATATCATTTCAGCATTGGTTGATCACTCCAACAATAGAATACCGCCTTCGCTTTGGATCATTATCTCAAGACTAATTCACAAGTGCAATTAAAAACTCTGATATGTTGTTAATAATGCTATCCTCTTTTTGTTTTTGTTTTTTTATGTTTACCACAGTCCTCCATAGTTTTGTCTCTGTACCAAGAAACCCACCTGAATGCAAAAGCAGTCAACTTCTTGCATCCTCCAATTAAATTAGGTAGCAAACTTGTACAGGTTTGGAGCCTTACACTTATTTTTCAGACCGCTGCCGTTGTTTTTGCTATGGACAGCTGTACAGGTTTTGGCATCCACATTGACCATTTGCTTCTGTTGAACATTTAATTCCTTAACGGCCTGGAGTGTTGGGAGGTGTTTGTAATGGAAGTGTTGAGGAGTGTTGATTTTAACACTTGTTTGGGAGATTTTTTAAAAAAATTGTGAGTGTTAGTAAGTGTTTAAAAGTGCTAGAAGAAACCTCCCTAAGACCTCAATAAGTACTTTTTTAACACCTGAAATTGGAGTATTTTAGAGAGTGGTGGACAAACTTTGCCCCTCATATTGCCGTTCTGACTCCCGGCTGCTGTAGTTCTGCTCTCATCCATCAGTACTACAACCAACCAAGCATTATGAGATCTCTTTTCACATACAAAGCCTTTGTACTAGGAAATCGCTGTATTATGATTTATGAGATCTCTATCCTAACACTAAACATATTACAACACATATTATGCGATCTCTATCCTAACACTAAACATATTACAACACATCTAACACAGTAGGGATTATCTGATCCAAATGCATATTAAAGTGAATATTTACATACATATAATTATATAATTATGGAAAAGATCCCGTTCAGCCGGAGGGACAGGATCTTCCATCCGGCCACTGCCGTTTGGGGTGGTTTATAGTGGAATATTTTGATGAATTTAGTTAATTTTGATACATTTTTTGAATATTTAATGTATCCAGTTAATTTTTTTTGAGAGAATTACCTAAATGGCTAAATATGAGTAAAAAATTTTGAAATTCCAAAATAATATTATTAAGTTTGGCATTATTAGGCTTTAAACATGACATTTTTTTGGCAGAATTACTCATATTTAGGGAATAAAAAACATGAAAGTCTTAATTTTGTATTTCAAAATGTTTTTTTTTTCCTATTTAGGGCAATTTAAAATAAGTAGTGATCTTTATTTAAGAAGCTTTTAGTTCCTTTTCGTTGCTAAGCAATCGCTTTGTACTTATCTCTCAATTGCCACGTACATTTCAGGATTGTTAGCTAACTCAGTTTATGAATGATTTATTGTGCATCACTAATTCACTATCACGTAGGAAGAAATAGTAGGCTAAGATGATGTGTGACATGGAATTCCCAAATGATGGCTTGACTGATTGTAACGTAAAAGTAAACGTATTTATATAATTATATGATGTTTTTTAAGTAGAAGAATTTAAATGATAGATTGAAAATAGTAGAATGATCTATTTGACATTTTGACCTCTTTCGTTTAGTTTCAAATTTCTAATAGTGTTGTGATCTTTTTTTGGAAGGCAACTATGAGTCTTTTTTTTTGAAAAAAAAAAAGTTAAAAGCCCCATGTTTTCTTTATTTGTGTGAAATGTCTTTATGGAATTATGGATTAGTAAATAAATACGGTGCGAGTATTATTTTTTATTATTATATACGCAGTCTTATGTAATTGAGTAATTCACTCATTCACATGACTAAAGTTATTAAACCTTTTGGTAATATTTATATGCAAGATAAATATAGACAATATCGACTCTTCTTATGAAGTCAATACTAGTATAAAAAATAAGACAAGATAAATTGAGAATGGATGAATTCTTATTTGACAATTTTATATTAATTAATGTAAAATTACGTGTACACACATTGCTTATGAAATGAATTATTTTTTAAAAACAATTACCTAGTATTATTTGGTAACATTGAAATTGGCTGGAGTTATAACTTATTACTAGTATTATTAAAAAATACATAAATTTATTTTATTAAAAAATTGTAAAATATTACATGAACACATTCTAAAATGGCATCTTCATCAAATTCAATTACAATTGTAACTTAATTTATTATTACACAGAAACAACGAATTAGGATTTATGTGTACATGTGGGTTAATGCTTTTAAAATATAATTAATATAATTTTTTCACTTTTCTCATTTAAAGTATTTATTCATTAATTTAGTGTTTGTTTTCTAGCCTTTGAAGCTAAGAAAGATCAAACTCCTTTCTTGAATGAACTCATTAATTTGAGTGTTTTTCTAGCATTCAAAATGTTAGAATACAATTAACATTTTTATGTATGAATTAAACAATTTTACATTCAATTGATTTAATTTAATTTTAATTACATACTCATAAAAGTTTTGTGTGTTTAAAATTTTGTACATAACACCATAAAATTATTTATATAAAAAATTTAAATAATGATGCTAACATAACTTTTTATGTAATAATTGACACACGCACACATTATTACATATGTAAGTTTGAAATACCTATCTTCCACTACGTAAAATTTGAGATATATACATTACATATGTAAGTTTGAGATACTTATCTTTTACTTTTTTAAAATTTGGGATATTTAAAATATTTTTCCATATCTTTATTTGAAGTTATGAATTTGGTGAAAAATTGATGACATGTCCTACATTTTCTAGAAAGTTATTCTATGAAAACCGACTCCAAGTGTGATAACAAGTGTATTGAATAATGGTTTCCATTTCAGATATGGTTGCCAGCCAGCCATGAAGAATGACCAACACACATACACCATCATCTCCATCCTTTTTTATATTAAAAAATTATTATTCGAAAGATTTATTTATGGATTCATTTATTCCTGTTTTTACTCTCTACCTGTGACCTTCCTTCCTTATAATCTTTGGCGTCGTTTTTTGTCATGATTTCTTGTTGAAGGCTTTCTCTCTCCTCCAGGTATCTTCTCGCTGCCCATTCTATCATTGCACATTGAAATGATAAATTCGTAATAATCTTAGTGCGGTTGATGGGTTTTCCCATTTTTTTCTATTGGATTATAGTTCACTTCAGATCTAATTGTTGCCCTTCTGGGAAAAAAAATTGTTGGATTAGTTAACAAAGCGTGTGGCTCGTGATTTTTCTGTTATTTTTTAACAGGTTTGATTTCAAGTGATTGGGGGTGATTCGAACGATGGCAACCCTGAAGAAGAACAATTAAGATTAGTTTTGTTTATTTCATTGAATAATTGGAAGGAAGTCGAGATCAAAGTGGATATTATGGGTTATCTGAATTCAGTATTGACTTCGTCTTCTAACAAAATGGATGCGGATGATGCACCCGTCAGCGGTGGAGGTCTCAGGTGATATTCCCGAATCAATTTCTTGTGACATTTTTGTTTTTATTCTTAAACATGGGATATGATTTCATGATTTTACTTATGCTGTGTTTGAAATATGCCTCATTTAGTTATTTGATCTTATTTCTTTCGGTTTACATGTATATTTAAATAGCAAAAGAACCTCCAGGTCGACATCTGTTTTAGGTGGTTTGTATTAGCCTATCGGGCAACCCACGAGGCCATGACGCGTTATGTGGCAGGAATCATACATTTTTATCATACCATGTAGACAAATGTGGAACTAGAAGGTGTTTAAAAGAAAAATTCCTTGCCATTGGTATCCTAGATAGTAGTCAAATGCTTGAGGGCTGAAGAAGTTAGAATTTTTTAAGAGAAATTGGGGATCATTCCCTGTGCTTGGAACTTGGAAGTTTGATAACAAAAAATTTTGTTTTTTTGCTAAGTATTCTGTCTCATTGTTTCATTATGAAACATGCATGCATGGAAAAATTTCATTTGCAATGGAATCTCTGACGCTTACTTTCTATATTTTTCTGTGGCTAATTAATTCTTTCGGCTCATACTCCATAATTTATAATGACAGGTGATGGTCCATTTTGCAATGATGAAATTTTTTCCTATTAAATCAATAAATCTATCATAGGGGAAAAGGAATAATATGACCTCATGCAAAATGTGTATTTATTGTGAAAGAAGTCATGGTTTTAGATATGTGCTAAATTAAATGGACAAATTTTCTGTGTTAGACACACATGGATGTCCCTAATCTGTCTCTACAAGGTACCTAATATGTCTTTTTCCGTATTTATATTTGTTTGGTCCAAGTAGGTCAGCACCTTGTATGTGAAATTGTGGATACTAATTGAAGTATTGCTATACTGAGAATTCTGGTAATTTTGAAAGAATTTTGAAAACTCTGTGTTGTTCTATTATGGGTTGAAATCCTTGATTAATGATGTCTTGTTTCTCTTTAGAAAATCCCATCTTCGGATTAAATTACAATTGTGTTTTTTCATTCAAATCAAATTCGTTGCTTTGTGTATTCCTATGAATAGTTTAGGATTGTGTGCTATTAAGTTTGAGAAGCGAAAAGGGTTGCTAGTAGCTCGCTCCCTAAGACATGAGTTCATTTGAGGTGTGCCACCTCATGAACCCGAGTTACAAAGGATAAAGATTATATATTCATTTTAATAATCCTAATTCCTAACTGTACGAAGACCTAGAGAACACGCTGGACAGTACTCATAATACAGAAACACAATAGAACTACAAACAGTGTGAACTTTAATGTTTCAAGGTAGTCCCACTCCCAAATTTCAAAGGTTGAAGCAGTCTGAAGATGGCACCGTCGGCCATCACACAATGTTCTGACTCTTTTTGTTAGAAGTTCTATGAAGAAGACTCAAAGTTCAAGCATGTCTAATTAAATTTAGAAGTGACGTTTCAATCTTTTTTAAATTAGATGGGTGCATGTGAGCCACACCTCATCCGCACCCTGACATATGCACGTAAGGCGCCATCCCTCTTCCTCACCCTTCACAACTGTTCTTGTGATATAATCCATGAAGGCGTCAACTTCATGAATTCTTAAATTTAAGTAACAGTAATTTATGATTCGGTTAGTAAGACTCTATTTGCTGATTTACATTTTACCTGACAACTATCAATAGTCAGGATGGGAAATTTAGCTATGGATACGCAAGCTGCTCAGGAAAAAGGTCATCAATGGAGGATTTCTATGACACAAGGATTGATGGTATAGATGGAGAGGTTATTGGTCTATTTGGAGTTTTTGATGGTATGTGTATATGTATCTCTCTCTCTCTCTCTCTCTCTCTCTCTCTCTGTTTTTACTGGAAGATAATCCCCAAGTAATGGAATAAAAATGTTTTTTTGTCATTCCTTCAACTTGTAAAAGTAAAACCATTTACATTGATTCACAATGCTCTCGATGTTTTCACTGTCCTGCCCCCACAAAAGTTTAGAATGGCTTCCATTATTATATTATTATAAAGTTCGGTTCAAATAAAAATAACCTACCGATGAAAATGAGAAAATTGGATGCACTAGATTTGAATTTAAGAGATCCAAATATGCCAACTTATAAATGTGTGACTGTGCACATTTTTCGCAGGGAACAATTTTTTTATTTGAACTACCCTATAACATAGAGATGGGGCGGTTCCAGTGAAAATGGTGTCAGTTTTTCACAATGAGGCCATTTTTTAATCTCATTGTTTAATATAGTTTTGCTTTGTGCATTAGAAATATGAGGAGGGCTAATGTTAATTCATGTTTATGATGAGTGCTGCCAGACTAAGGGTAATCAGTTCATTAGCTTTTTTAGCCTGGGGGTTAGGGGGAGGGGGGCTAAAGGGAGCCTGGGGGAGCTGAAACTCGAAGTTTCTAACCCTAGACCTCCCGTATTGGAGAGTGAGTCGGCGACCAGCTGAGCTAGACCGCTTCCTCTAGTACTGCTAAATGAAGGTTAGGACTTAGGATCATCAGTAACAAATTAACATCTATCAACAAACATGTTTGAGTTATAAATGAAGGCTAGGACTTAGGATTACTATAATGCTAAAACTATTCTACTATAAATGAAGGCTAGGACTTAGGATCATCAGTAACAAATTATCAACAAACAACAAACATGTTTGAGTTTTTGGTGGGTGATGGAGATTGCTATGATGCGAAAACTATTCTACTATTCCAGAATATGGACTTTCATTGTCAACTAATTGGTAATATTAACGACTAGTCATCTATAACACTTGACATGTTCTTCTGGCATCATTTTAACCTTAATCTTGTTGCATTGTATCCATAGTGCATATACCTTCCATTAATTAGGATGCACCTTTCCAAAAGTAATTATTTTTCATATTCAGCAACCATCACATGCTTTTCACTTGGCTTTCTGTTCACATCTCCTCTTTATTTAGGTCATGGAGGGGCTCGAGCTGCAGAATACGTTAAGCAAAACCTTTTCAGCAATTTGATTAAACATCCAAATTTTATTTCAGATACCAAATCAGCAATAGGTATGCTGCTCACAATGTACTACTATCTTGTCTTCTTTAATACAGCGTAACTAAACAATTCAAATTGATACTTTATTTTGTTTTGCAGCTGATGCATACAGCCATACAGATTCTGAATTTCTAAAATCAGAAAACAGTCAGAATAAAGATGCTGGTTCAACCGCTTCTACTGCTATTCTCGTTGGCGACCGTTTATTGGTTGCTAATGTTGGGGATTCAAGAGCTGTTATCTGCCGTGGTGGGCATGGTAAGATTTGAAATTTCTAACCCTGTGTTGAGCTAATCTGTTGCTCCTTGATGCAAACTCTGTTGTTTTCTCATCTTTACTTTTATCTTTCTTCGCCCATACTGAATGAGTTGATGAGGAAGAAACTAATCTTTCGTTAGAGAAAAAAGCAAATATTTATTGACCAACTGAATGAGTTGTCTGTGCGCGAACATGCAAGTGCACGTTAGCTTGCATTTATAATTGGCAAATTATGCAAATTCCTTTGTTCATTAAAATCCTGTAGCAGCGTTGGGAATGTAAAATCCATTAATATCGGGTCGAGACGGAAAATTTTACTGCATATGATAGATGCTTAAATCTGGAACAGCCCTCCTGATCGAACATGGTTTTATTGCTTGCAGCCATCGCTGTTTCCCGGGATCACAAGCCAGATCAGAAGGATGAGCGGCAACGCATTGAAGAGGCCGGAGGTTTTGTGATGTGGGCAGGTTTGTCCATTTCATCAAATATCCTTTTAAATGATGGTTGGTTGGCTTGTGGAGATATTTCAGTCCTTTAGGGATTAAAAAATGTGGTTCAAATGTATTGGACAGGTACCTGGCGAGTTGGAGGTGTACTTGCCGTTTCCCGAGCATTTGGCGACAGGCTTTTGAAGCAATATGTTGTTGCAGATCCAGAAATCAAGGTACTGTGAACCTTTGTAGTTTATCTCTAATATGTGGAGTATCAATGATTCTGGAAGTTCAAGGGACATCATATTTCCCCTCATAGATATGTTTATACATTCATGCATACTCCCTCCGTCCCCTTTTAAATGTCCCGTTTTACCATATTGGGATGTCCCTATTTAATTGCCCCATACCTTATTTGGTAAACTTTGTGTGGCTCAAAATCATTCTTACTTTATTCTTACTTTATCAATTAATATCAACCACACAAACTCACTTTTCTTAAAACTCGTGCCACCATCTCCCGTCCCATTTAAAAGGGGACGGAGGGAGTACATGCTTAGTTCCCCAAGGCTGCTCTTTTAGATTACGGCTTAAATCTTGCTTTTGAATAAACTACATATGAAAGTAATGTGTGTGTGTGTGTGCTCTGAATTCTGATATAAGTTATCACTAATCTTGCTGTATATTTATGATGAGTTTAGACACTATATAAGTATATATATCAAAATTGCAGGAAGAAAGGGTTGACAGTTCACTTGAATTCCTTATCCTTGCAAGTGATGGGCTATGGGATGTAGTGACAAATGAGGTTTGCAATTTTTAAAATTATATCTTTTATCAAATGTCTTCTTGAAAACGTTTTCTTTACACGTCATCTTGAATGGTGATCTTGATAAAAATCTTTTTATAAGTTAAAAAAATTAATTTCTTCTAAAATATTGTAATGTGTGTACTGTTTGAATTATTTTGTTGGTGGTATTTGGTCACATTAAAAATGGGAAAAAATGTCAGGAAGCGGTGTCGATGGTGAAGCCAATAAAAGAGCCGGAGGAAGGAGCAAAAAGGCTGATGCAGGAGGCTTATGAGAGGGGGAGTTCAGATAACATCACCATTGTCATCGTCCGTTTCCTGGCTAATGACGATGATCATCATCCAGTTGCTGTCGTGGATTCATCTTCTTCTTCTCACAACAGTAGTAGTGGTGCGTCTCTGGTTAACTAGTTATAGTAATACTAAGCAAGTGATATGACGTCTTTCTTTCTTTCTTTCTTTCACACAAGCTTTTAATGTAATTTGTAAGTAATACACTTATAGGATGATGGGGGATAACATAAACTGAAGAAAGGACTCCACAGTAGAATGTGTGCGACTACCAGCTTATATTACACTGAAACGAGTGAACCTCTACTATTATTGTTGTTGTTTTAATTGTGATTCTGTGTTTCATTACTATTGCTGTTTTTGTTTTTATTGTTGTTACATTATTTTATTATTGTTCTCGGGTATATCCTATAATTTACTCGTTTACATTATTTTTTAATTATATCATTTCGGCAGAATGCAAAACCTTGCATTTCGGGTACTTATGCTACACATGTTGTTTGTTGACTTTTGATGAAGAATCAATTACACCTCGAGATAGCTGTTAGAAATCATTTGCAATGGAGTCAAAGATTTATTATTTTTTGGCTTGAGAATATGATGGAATAAAACAAAATGGCTCACTGAACTGTTTGCGCTTCTTAGTTATGAAGCAGCAGTCAGTCCATGCAATTTTGGACGTGATTTTCACTACGGGTCATCCGGAAACAGGGGTAAGATTGTGTACAGGGGTAAGACTGTGTACATCCGACCCCCCTACCCCACCGTAGGTGGGAGCCTTTGCGGCACTGGCTAAATGAAAATGATGAAAATGAATGTTACTCCGTGTTTTTTCCCATCTTTTTGACGCAATCTCTCATAACAGTCCATGTGTTTTTGAATAATATTCACCTTTTTCCTTACAAATCATTTTTAAGCATTTTTATGCGTCTGGTCAATGTGGTCTTTTTAGGGTGGCATAAAGTTTTGTTGAAAAATGAGTAGGGTTTTTGACTTATTTGGTACCAATATTCCCGGGGCTGTATCAAATTGGTATTTGTTTTTTGGTTTGTATTGTATATCACTGATATCACACTGTTGGAAAGAATTGTATCGTATTCATTCGATCACCCATCAAAGATATCAAATTGGACCTTTGGCTCAAGACTCAAGAGATTAAGGTGCTGTTCTGTTCGTCTTATTCTTATTACTTATTGCTTATTCTTATTTTATTCAGATCAGATCAGATCAGATCAGAAAAATTCAGATCAGATCAGATCAGATCAGAAAAATTCAGATCAGATCAGATCAGATCAGAAAGATTCAGATCAGATCAGATCAGATCAGAAGCATTCAGATCAGATCAGAAACATTCAGATCAGATCAGACCAGATCAGAAGCATTCAGATCAGATCACAAACATTCAGATCAGATCAGATCAGATCAGAAAAGTTCAAACATGATTTTTCACTTTTATTATTATATTAAATATTAATTATTATTATTATTATTATTATTATTATTATTATTATTATTATTATTATTATTATTATTATTATTATTATTGTTATTACTATAATGATTATTATTATATAATTATTATTAATAATATTAATAATAATATGATAAAAAAAGATATTAATAATAGTTATAATTTTTTAATATAATAATAGTAATATAAATGCAATTGTTAAGAAGACTATTATTATGACAACATTATAATAATAATAATATGATTAATATTATTATAATTATATGTAATTATAATTATAATTACAATTATAATTCTTATAATTATAAGTATAATCAATTGTAATTATTATAATTATATCTATAATTAAATATATTTATAATTGTAATTAATTATAATTATAATTACAATCATAATTATAATTATGATTATAATTATAAATATAATATAATATTATAATAATATAATACTAATTATAATAATAATCATATTATTATTATATTATTGTAATAATAATATTAATATAATAATATCGTTATAATAATATTAATTGTATTTATATTACTATTATTATATTATAATATTATAATTAATGTTAATATAATTATAATTATTATTAATTATAATTATAATAATTATAATTATACTTATAATTATATTATAATAATAATTTATGATTATAATTATTATTTTTATTATAATTAATATTAATATTATTATTATTATTACCATTGTAATTATTTTATGGAGTAATTATAATAATATTGATAACTATAGTTACAATTATAGAGATAAATATTGTAATTATAATTACAATTATAATTATAATTTTATTTAAATTATATTTGTAATTGCAATTATAATAATAATTATAATTATAATTATAATTATAATCATAGAAATATTCGAATCAGATCAGATCAGAAAGATTCAGATCAGATCAGAAACATTCAGATCAGATCAGACCAGATCAGAAACATTCAGATCAGATCAGAAAGATTCAGATCAGATCAGATCAGATCAGAAAGATTCAGATCAGATCAGATCAGATCAGAAAGATTCAGATCAGATCAGATCAGATCAGAAAAATTCAGATCAGATCAGATCAGAACTTAAAAAATTCAGATCAGAAACATTCAGATCAGGCGAAGAGAACAGCTTCTAACTTCAACAATGAGTAGAAAGAATGACAAAAACATTATAATGGGCATTCCAATTGACAAAAATGGGATTAAATTTTCGCATGGACAAAAAAGAGATCAAATATCCTTTATATAACTACCGACCAAAGCCCTAAGTGTTAAGCCGCTAAGAAACTTTGCACTGAATTCCCGTTGAAGGCCAAACTTTGCACGTTTGGGCTTTATCTCGTCGTTGGAGATTTACGCAATTGGAGTTTAGGAGAGAGCTGTCACCACCTAACCCCTTGTCAACTTCAGCACTACCATTCCTCCTAGAACTTGATCGAAACGAAGATCTTAACTCAGAACTGCTTGATTGCCATCTTCAGCTAAATCCGTCGTCGTTTTCGATGGGGCGATTGTTGCAGGGTGGGCACAACCGTAGCTAGGGTTGCAACTTAATAAGTTTATCTCGTTCATTGTAGTTTCAAAAAAAATTAATTTAGCTTCAGACAATAATTTTTCAATGAGGAAATAGATTTCAATTTGAATTCATTTGTTCAAACATATGCGAAGTCCAAATAGCTAATTGTGGCCATTTGTTGTTGCTTATTGTTGGTAGAAAATAACCCGGGTAGAGAATTTGGCAGCATTTCAGTATAGTGAGAATAGCTTAGTAGAATACAAGGGGTTGGTGGCCTATTTATAGGCATACAGAATAGCCCTACCAATTAAGTGTTACATGGGCTTGGCCCGATTTATCCACTAACACTCACGCTAATGGGCCGGCCAACCCGATAAGTAATTAAATAATCCCGGACCAATATCTGCTAGCCGGGTTGTGTTCTGAGCTTGGTCGGGCCAAGGCTTGGGCGTAACGGGCCAATAGTCTTGGACCCGGCCCATTATCCCAACACGAGTCCCCCACTCCCTTAGTCGAGTAGTAGACTCGGCTAAAAGGGAGTAGTTAAGCTGTTTTGGGATTAGTCCGGTTTTTGGTCCGGCCGGCCGGTCATTATCGAGCCTTGAATTTGATCCCATTGCTTATGAAAGGATGGACTCTTCTTTGCTCCGACCGGGGACCTCTTCCTTTGTTCATGATGATGGAGTACCTCATTAAAACCTTACTAGGAAAAACCCAATGGGAAAAAATCATAGTGAAGGAAAAAGAGTGCACCAGAACCTTAAAATAAAGCAAAGGAAGGTCAATCCCCTTGGTTCTTGGTTGAGTGCCTGTTTTACTGGTAAGACGAGATATGTTCCGAAAAGACCAGTCACACGGTTGTTTGTCAGTGGTGTCGGTCGAGCCAGGGTATGCTCGGGAGAGACCACATAGCAACTTTGTTTGTTGATGGTGTCGAGCTGAGATATGCTTGGAGAAGGCGGGTCGCAATTGTACACTTGTACGCTGAGGATGGCGATCTGGGGTATCCGATCCGAATAATGATGACGGGGAAGAAATGAGCCGGTCGTCATGTGGAGGCGACGGTCACCATCCAGGAAGGGATGGCGAGCCCGGTCGCTGGATCAAGACTTCGGCGCTGAGGAGCCGGTCTTTGATATATAGCATCACATCGAGGCTGAGGGGGCCGATCGTGATGTATGGGCATCGGCACTGGAGGGCCGATCTAAAGATCCAAGCAACGGTCGCCATCCGGGAAGGGATGACTGAGACCGGTCTTGAGAGTATGACGAACACGTTGAGACCAAGGGGCCTGCCGTGTCGATATATAAAAGATCACGTTGAGACCGAGGGGTCTGCCGTGATGCAAGGACGTCGGCACTGAGGGGCCGGTCCAGAAATCCACGCAACGGTCCTCATCCATGAAGTGAGAGGATGAGACCGGTCTTCAGATAAATGATCATGTTGAGACCGAGGGGTCTGCCGTGAGGCAAGGACATCGGCACTGAGGGGTCAGTCCGGAAATCCACACAACGGTCCTCATCCATGAAGTGAGGGGATGAGGCCGGTCTTCAGATAAATGATCACGTTGAGACCGAGGGGTCTGCCGTGATGCAGCGACGTCTCGCTTGGCATACGAGAGGCACGAGGATGTGGGAGATGAGGCAGTTGCTTTGTTCAAATCCCCTTACAGTTTTCAGAGCTCATCACTTCCAGGATTGAAGACCGGTGTCAGGAGTATATCCGAGCTTAGCTGCGGAACAAGGAGGGTTGCAATTGGTTGGCCTAATATGCAGACTACCTGTGATGAGGCGAAGAAAATCGGGCAATGATGATCTTGGAGTTGGTCTTTGTGATTGATTTTTCGCTTGACCTTGTATGTGTGCATCATTTGTTCTTTCAATTTACTAAGTCGTTTTTCATTCAAGAATACTTGGAGAACTAATCGGGGATCTGGCTCCCCACCTATGCCGTGAGGGGCGGAAAATCGATAAGGTCGACCTTGACCGCGCCCTGCTGGGTAAGGCGGGGCTGACCCGCACACTGTCGGTCTAGGACCAACGAGTTGTGCAAACTGTTTGGCCAGCGATTAGACAACGGATGTACGAGAGGGGCTCGGGGCGCGACCTCTCGCATACCTTCGACCCGGAGGTCGGTCTTACACCACCTTGACTTGTACAGCTAGTTTCATACTTAGGAAATATTTGGTTATTCCCTTTCCGAAAGTCGAACTGAAGTCGGCCAAACGTAAGGGCAAGGCCCTACATGATCAGACCAGAACGGACCCGCACCACTGACCATATCAAACGAGTATGCGGGCTGTTAAACCTAGCAACGTCAGACAGCGGATGTACGAGAGGGGCTCGGAGCACGACCTCTCGCATACCTTCGGCCTGAAGACTGGTCATATAGTCGCCGCACAATTGATTAGGTCAAACGAGTATGCGAGCTGTTTAGACAGCAACATCGGACAACGGATGTACGAGAGGGGCTCGGAGCACGACCTCTCGCATACCTTTTCGACCCGGGGGCCGATCTTACCGTCGCCCTGACCGAGCAGCTAATCCTGGACTTGGAAAA